ATGTTCACAACCAGTCAGCTGCTAATGTGATTTTCTGAAGTAACATAGCCAGGACCTGTACTTGGTGGCCATAGACCTTAGGTGCAGTCATGAGATGAGGATGAGAAAGAAGCAACTAGTTGGGTGTGGTGATCCAAAATGCAATTCTTTCTTGAAGGGAGAGTTCATAATGTCAGAATTACTAATACCCAAATGCACCTCAAGAACTGGAAATAAAGAAAAACTTCCTGCCGAAACACAGTGAGAACCATAGCTCGGAGGTTGCGGTCCCTGCATAGTTTTGGGATGGCTTAAACCTTAAGGCAACAATTTCCTAAAATGAAAAGATTATAGCAATACAGCTTCAGTCTTTCTAGGTATTTTCTAGGAAAATTCCTTGTGATCTTTTAAAAGCATAAGATCAGTCTTATAACATAAAGATTGCATTATGACTTTTCTCTGAGTAATGCAGTTACAACCTTGCTTCATTCTGGAAGGTTCCATCACTAACTTATTGTCAGAAAGACCAAGCTGCTACTGAAGAGTTATTTTCTGTGGAGAATGAGATATTAGCCATTTCCAGAGAGACTTTTAAAATCTTTGTCATGTAGGTAATAGTAAATCTGCTGTTGCTTAAAAGAATAGAAGTTGTCAGGTTTTATGGGTCTTATTTTTCCTTGGATATGGAAGCTCTGGGATTATTCTGCATTTCTCTAATACTATAAAAAATATTGTAGCACCTTTTAATCGTTTCCCCCCAAGACCCATAGCTTTCACTTCATATTCACCTCAGAAGTGTATTTTGTATTGGGTTTGCATGGCAAGGTTTGGGTAGTGTGGGTGCTACAGGGTTGCTCTTTCTGAGAAGCTGATCTACCATCTTACCCTGTGTCTGATGAAACTCACATAGTCCATCTCCAAGGTGGACCCACAAGGTAGAGCAGTTTGTTTTACGGTTCTGGTATCAATTCTGTTCCTTCTACTGGGAATAACCCGGAGTAATCCATTGCTGCTGACAGTCAGAGGCTGTATAGCTCTGATGCAGCTAGAAACTTCCACAGCGCAGTGGCTCTGGGAAAAGAATACTAAATAACCCTAAAAGGAACATAATAGTCAGGAGGAAGAAAAAAAAAAATCTAGCTGTTACCCATGTAGCTTTATAACTACATATTATTCAACAAATGTTACAAGCTTCACTGCTGATACATTTAGTAATAATTAAACTGTGGATACTTTTCATAGATAGGTTTGACACACTGTGTCATATTTGCTCACATAAGATTAGGGAAACTGCAAGTCAAGTGCAAGACGAAGAAGAGATAGTACTATCTTGAGGCCCAAAAATGCAAGGTGTCCTTAAAAGAGAGATTTCAAGTGAGTGCTGCCATTCAGCAACAGGCATAAACCTTTTTTGGTTTTTTGTATAAAAACATAGTATTCTCTGTTGCAGTTTAAAAGCAAATTATTAAACTATTAAGTGCTGTTTTCAAAGCACTTATAGGAATACATCTGATCCCTTCAATTTGGGTTTCTGAAGTTATGTCAGAGGCAAATGCAAGGAGAGATTCTTCAGATAAAATCTCTCCTTGCAGGAGCCTTTGGCTCTTGTTTTCATGTCCTCAAATTATTATTGATGACTGAATTATGAGTATTACCCCTATTATTACAAATAGATGTTTTCTTATTGGCTTCAGAAAAAAAGAGATAATTTTAATGTGACTTCATCTTAACTATTTTTAGGGGCTCCAGCAGGAAAGTCTGCTATTTGAAATAAGCCAAATATTTTATTTCTAGTCTGTTGCAGGTAATTTGTCTGCAAATGTGTTATCAAGCCACAGAAAGATCTTACTTCAAGTTTCAAAGTTTAAGAATCCTACTTTACAAACTCACTGTATGTGATGAGAACGTATACAGAGTTCATGGCTTGTTTTTCACCAAGAGTTTTGAATTGTATTAGCTTTCAGATGAAATGTAGGCAGGAAATTAATGCTGGCAGTTTGCGTGAGCAGCTCCCTAAACATCTGATAAAGAAAAGCATCTCTCCCTGTCACTTGCAAAGCTTTCCTCATTAACTCTGTAAGTCAGGCTGATGCTTCCAATAATCACTTAGTTTTGCATTTTCTACCAGCATACATTTACTTATGAGAACTCCTAAACAAAGAAAACGTACATAATTATAGGGCTAGAGGTTTACAAGGTGGCTCACATTTGATGACCTGCTGTATTTTCTTCTATTTTCCTTGCTAATGCTGTGATTTACATCTCAACATTCAAGTACATGCCCATTACAGGGAGAAAGCAAGCTGTGCTTTTCTTAATTAACTGGTAGTTCTATAAACCTTCAGAGGCTGATATTATTACAGTATTTTGGAGGAGTACAGATTAACCAGTATCCAAGACAAGAATAGAAGAGCTCAGCCCATGCAAAACTGGAAGTAAAATCACGGGGCAATGTTTTTTGCATTACTTTATCCTGCAAAACATTTGATGATAGATGTCTCAGAGATGCCTGTGAACTTTGACAGAGAAGATTGTTAAGGAATTATTCTAGAATGTAGCACTATGTCCACATCAGGCTCTCATCATTCTGCAATGAATCAAGGTTGTCTCAAGAAATCCTTATCCATAGGAATTTAGTTCCCAGAAATGTGTGCAAGTCAAGCACGTTGAATTCTGGCAGCTCCAGCTATGATGAGCATTTCCCCTTGTGGAGTAAGAATCATCTGGCATGCCTGCCTCACACATACTGGCAGTCCACTAACTAATTGATTACTTCAGTGTTGAGTCATGGCAAATGACACTCCTAAGAGCAACCTGGTAACAGGAACTCAGCTGTCAGCGACATCACTGCATCATTAGTGATGCATCAAGTATTCTTCAGATGACTAATTAACATCTATCATTTTCTTCTTCAGTAATGGTACTTGGTGAGGCACTGCAAGGTCCAGACAAATCCTGGAACCTCCGATCAGTCACACTGTTTAAACTGCATCTCAGTATCCTGCAGGCACTGTGGTATATTTCATTTCCTCTTATGTTTATAGACACAAATTCATTATTATTTGTGAAAGTATAGGCAAAAAGGTTTCAAAATCTCAATTAAAAACTAAAAATAATTCCATCTAGATGACTACCCTGAAGATCTCAAAAATATTTGATGACTTTTGATCACCTTTTAAAAAAAATTCTCATTTCTATATGATTATACTGAAGATCAGCATTTAAAGGGGTCCTACTCCTGCATTATCCTCTGTTCAATAAGTTCCTCAAAAAGAGACAAAACCAAACCCCTGATACCCAGAACTCTTATAGCATGAGTTATAATAGCTTAATGCAGTTCCAAATATATCCTAATCTTCACTAAAATGCAAACTCCTTTTCCCTTGCAAAGCTGCCATTTTATAAGCTGACTCACAACCACCATGTTAAATGGTGTTGCAGAAATGATTTCCAGCAGTATATCCTTCAGCCACAGCTACAACCAAAGACAGAAGGCTTGCCAGAACCAAAACTGTCTGCAGACAGGCTGGACTAACACCAGCCAGCCACCACTGCAGCTGTGCTCACCCACAGCACTGTTTCATCAGCTATAGTACCAGCTCTGAACAGAGCATCAGGAGTGAGACATGAAGATTTCACAGGACTTTCCCATTGTACAAACATTTTTGCACTGTTGCAATACATTGTTTATCTCTCTCACTGCTCACTCCTGGTACTGACAGGTTGTGTCACCACTATGAGAAGAGAATTCTTCCCCTTATTTTCTCATTATACAGCTTCTGCCAGTTCCATCACATGCTTTCCTACCATTCCAGGATTTCCTCTCACCTTTAAACAAAGAACAAGGCCATTATAATTTTTTCCAACTGGATGAACATTTCCCATACGTATGGCACTTTCAAAAGCCAAATTCACTTTTGGTTCTCCCTCCAGAGAGACCCTTTCTGAAGCTAAATCCAGATTACTTATTAACTTCCTTCCATGCACCCTCCTACCTGGTCATCTGCAGTATGTGCATGGGATATTCCTTGTTTACTCTGCCGTTGTTGACGTCAATGGGCAGGACAACAGATGTGACACTAAGTCAGATGTCATTGCTGTCCTGTTGGGAGGACTTGTCTGTCAGTGAAACCTCCAGATAACCTTCAGATTCAACACTTCTGAACACACCTGACAACTCCTTTTCTGCCACTGAACACTTCTGGGTGTTTTCCAGCTTGACAGGACAGACATCGGCTGTTTTGTCTGTACCCAAAGAATCAAGTTTCAGTATTTCCTTCATTCCAAGGCAGGGATGGGCAACAACCTCAGAGCTGAACTTCCTCACAGAGCATTTGAAAAATGTAGTTTGAGAATCAAGTTTTTCTATGCTCACTATTGCAAATCAGGCGAAGCACCAAAGCAGATGTGGCAGAGCATATTATCATAGGTTAATGTATATATATACTGTTAGTTACATGTAAAGAGTAGACAAAAGAAATCAAATCATCCTAAATCCTGTAAAGACAGTTACTGCAACTTCTGTTAAGTTCTTTGTACAGCTTAATCAACACTGGAATAGAAACTGGGAAGGGAGTAACTTTATATGCATCACTCCACTATGCAAGTCTTTTCATATCAGAGAAAATTATATCAGAAGCAGATGAATCTCTGAATTCTGAAAATGAAACGAAAGTGTGATAAGAAATTCTAAAGTCTGCAGGTTTCTTCTTTACCAAATATTGGTAGCAACAAGGTCACAAATCTGTAATGCACACTTATACATGGTAAATAAGCTTTAACTGTTCATGAACTGTACTGGTGATGGCATTTATACACTTGTTTCTTTTTTGTGGGGGAAAAAAAATGAACAAAAGCTTTGGCCTAGGGTAAGACCCCATTTGGAAACTCATTGACAGCATGCTGCAAGTTCTTCCTTCAGAAAATCACTATAGCTGCTTTAGCTCTTCCTATCTGTGTTTACTCTAGATTTTCAGGCAGGTTTCCAGGTAGCAATAACACTTCCGACGGTCACATAATACTGAATTTTGAACAATTACACAAAGAGACTTTATTCCATAAAAACAGGAAGTTGTTATATGTATGAAATAAATAACTATGCTTACAGATAGAATATTGAATATGTTCTGAATATTTTCAAAGAAATTCTGTTCCTAATACATAAAAATGTGTATTAATACAAATCCCCACACGCATCATCATACACAATGCCAAAATTAACATACAAGGACCTTAGATGTCTAATCAGGGTTTGGAGCAGTTTAAGGGCAAGCACTGGTTTACCATATTTGATGGCATATAAACTCTTGCATAAACACAGCCTTTTAGATCTCTGTTTTTTCAAAATTCATACTTTTAAATTGTTCTTCAAGCACATCAGAATCTTCATCACTGTCTGCACTACTGAAATTTGTATCAAAATCCAGCTCATCCTTCAATTTACTGCTCTCTTGGCCATTTTTAGAAGTCTCACTGTCAGTTCGGTCTTGTCCTTTATCAATCCTGTAGAAAGCAAGAAGGATATTATCAGCACCCACTTCTGGAATCTCAACAAGAATGGGATGGAGGATAGAATATCCTCCTGGCATTCCATCCCAATGTAGGATGGAAGATGGCAGGAGGTGGGAAGAAGGAGGAGAGGGGCAATAAAAGTCCCTAAAGTTACTTCACACTAAATAAGAAGGATATAAAACACAGTAAAGTATGCATAAAACAGTATTTAGTACAGAAGAGACTGCAAAGAAAGAAAAGTAAATATTTGAACAGCTTGACCAAGTAAGCAACTGCTGGATTGTTGTCACAAACTAGTAAATTAATGTTTTACATATCATGCTCAATAGAGAGCACCGGTAAAAAAAGCCAAAAGCCTGCTAAATATACTATGGTAACTGTGCTTAATATCAGTCCTTGTTTAGTTCTTCTGTTCACTAGTAACTGAATCATCAAGTGGCAGACAAAATGCAAACAGTAAAGTGGCTTGTGCATATTTTATGATGCTCTACATCAAAACCCATTTTGAAGTGCTTTGTTAAGAAGAAATATAATTTACCCATTGGTGCTAAAATGTCTTATCCAACTTTTGTTGTCTCAGCCTCACTAACATCAATAAGCATTTTACCCCCAGTTGCTTCTGAAGACAGTGAGGAAAATGACTCCTACTGATTCATGTTGGGATAATTGAGAATATGGCATAAATTATGACAGCTTCTTGGCAGTTTCCAAACGAGGCTTATTACAAGGGGAATTACCAGTACAGGACTGAAACTACGTACTCTATTAGCTACTTACGGAATCACTATTTCTTCTTGTTTCCCACACTTAGCACAAATTTCTAGTTTACCAGCACATGGTCGACAAATAATATGATAAGGATCTTTTACAGTCTTCTGGAGGCATTTCACACTGTGAAGAGAAAGAAAATATGATTCAAAAATATTGTGGACACTTACTAAACATTCTGCATTCAAATACAATGTAGAAAAGAGGAACAAACACTCACAAAAGAGGAACAACACATCTTCAGCTGATTTCAAATTAAACACTCAATGTTTTATCAAGTAGCATAATCAAAATCATTGCCATTCACCCCTCTCCCTTACTTTCCTCAGGAAGAATTAATAAAACAAGTATTGAAAAAGAAACATAAAATAAAGAATTTTATATTTAAGTTGACAGAATAAACATTTCCGTTCATTTCAGTAGGCAGTTTTTACTTTAAAATTGCACAACTTCCATTTTAATGATAAAAGCAGCATATGGCATAAAAAAGTACATCGACTTTACAAATAAAAAGCTTTCAGCTGAAACATTGAAATGACTTCCTCTTGAACTTCTCAGAGTATAAACTGAGTCAGTGCTAGACTTTGTTTTCTATGAACACAAGCCTGCATGGAATAGTATTCTCAACAAACCCAACCTAATAAGGTAGAGGGCTTGGGCTATTCTTTTTCAAAATGTGATAATATTCTGTGGATTTTGTAATTTCCAAAATTCTATGGCTTAACATTCAGCTGACATTTCTATAGCCTTGTATATCTGGAGAACGTAACTGGAACAATATACCCCATGTAATGCTGATCTCTTGACAGTAATTTTTAATGCCTCAAAAGCTCTTCCCAGACACGTCATACTAAACAGAGGCAATACCAATGCAAGGCAAATCTATATATTTTTTAAAAATTAGTTTGACTTCTAATAATTAAACACTCAGAAGTAAAGTAGGGAACACTTGTGGTTGTACTAAGACTCATAATTTTAAAGATGTTACAAAACTAAAAATAATTGAAGTATTAATTGAGGTACAGGGAAGTCCTCCATCCCCATCTTTTGCAATATAAAGATTCCTTTTTTTTAAAAATTATGACATTTTTAATGTCTATTACGCTTTTACTTCACCTAGAAGCTTCATATGTTGAAAATTTTCCTTGTCGTGTCCTTGCAGAACAATGGCTCACCCAGCCATTGTACTGGTGGCATAGAAATCATCATCAGTGAAGCTAGAATGCTCTGAGGAACAACTTCTTCATTCAAAAATATGAGAGAGAACATCACATACTCTTTTATAAGCTGCTGTTCTAAAATGTCACTTTAGAACATTTAGAACAGTTCTTTAAAGCAGTTGTTTAAACAGTTCTTTAAACAGTTGCTTAGAACAATTAAGAAGCTGTCCAATGCTTCCCTGATTTACATGGGGTTTTTGCCTGCTCTCTTCCCTTTGGGAAAAAAAAAAAAAACCAAAACAGGATGTACAAATAACATAGTTATTTGAGAAAAAGTGGAAAACCCAACTTCATCTGTGGTGCACAGAACATAGAATTCTTATTTTTTATTCAGCAAGCCTTCTACGTAATCATTTATTCTTTACATGAAAGGGTGAAACTGGTTACTAATACCAAAATACAAGCTACTGTGACAAACCTGGCTGTACTGTGCTCACAGCCCAGTTGTGGTTTCTCTGAGTTCTATGTTTCAGCAATGAAAATGTTTCAGACACTGGCTGTGTCTGCTACCACAGGAGGTAAGGACCTCTGCAACAGAGCAAATAAGAAGGAAGCAGAGAGCATCTCCTTCAGAAAACTAAAATAATTACATGTTTGTGATAGGTTAGAGTATTTATCATCTTTGTCACAGAGTTACACAAAAACAAGCAATACAGAATTCTATGCAAACAATGCCAACATTTGCTACTTAGGATTATAGTTTCTTACAGAAAAAGAGAAAACATGCTAAGAGGTAATGAAATGCATGTATTGCAAACATTGGCAAAGTACAGAAGTCAAGAGATGTGAAGATCCCTCTAATACAGATGTGAAACAAGACCTTAGAAAATTGTGTTACAACATGGTTAGGTAGGACTTTTTGTTCAGGAGGACACTGACAGTCTTGGAAACCTACAGAAACCTACAGGTCCACAGTTCAACCAGATTTAACAGCAAAGAGGGAAGCAGTTGCTCTTCCTCTGTGTCTTCTTTTCAGAAGTTTACAACAAAAGACTTAAGAATTGGAAAATTAACAATGCCTATATGTTGTCATTTCAGACTACACATTTTAAAAATATTGCATAATAGCAGCTTCTTCTTCTGAGTTTCCAAAGCCAGAATATTTTCCAAAAGCTCACAAACTACATACCAACGATTAACAAAAAATATATTTACTCACCATTTCTTAGGTTTTGTCAGTAGCTTGTACTTTCTGAATTTTACTCGCCACTCCAAGATGCCTTTGCAATGCTGACACACTCCATCATGAAGCTTAGCATTTATTTTCTAAATAAGTAAAAAAAATACATTGATGACTTCCTGCTGTAAAAAGTAAAATCTTGCTTAGAAAGCATTTTACCCATCTTACAATTAATACAGTACTATAAACATGTTTGTTTGGTATTAATATCAAGCTTTTCATATACATTTGCCTACAGATTTTCTTTAACGGAAAGGATACCTTGAAATTAAAGAATAGATGATGATGATGATTATTATTATTATTTTAATTATCTTAATTATCATACTTCTTTCTGTTATTATATTGCTGAGAATTTAATACTGTAGGTATTTAATTCTTTCCATCTCTAGAAATTTTACAAAACGGATAAAAGAAGAAATAAGCCCTGAAATACACAGCTTTTGTCCAAAGAAGACAACTTACAAGACATAGCATTTAACTTATTGTTCAAGCTATCACTATACTACATAGTTTAAGTAGTCTCAGGATTTTTCCTCAGATAACAACAAAGTAGAATCCACACACTACTTGCAGTCAAATTATTCAATCTCTCTCTAATCCTAGCCTTCCTTTATGAAAAACATTTTTGCTCTCTGCATCTAAGATAATTTTATTTTAAATGGTAATTTAAACCATGGTATATTTTCAAGACAATGAAAAATTTACCTTAATATCTCCTACAACATTTTGTGTTTAGCTTTCTTAGAAATATAAAATGTCAACTGGCTAGTAGTATTTGCACAAGAGAAGTTATTCTGAGATGGGAAATGGTACCAAATCACACTTTTACCTTATATAACAAGCTATGTTGTTGTAAGCTCAATCCAATTTTATTTCTTTTCTATTTAAGAATGCCAGCACTAATGTTGTCTATTATATGGGTGTTCATATTAATTGAGAAATTTAAAACTAGAAATTTCAGGGTTAAAAACCTCATATAATAAAAATGTATTTTTAAAGATAGTTTAAAAATGGCTACCACATCAACATTGTTAAACAATTAAAATTGTTTAAACCACATCTACTTCTTAGCATACCTAAAAGGAGTGATTCTGCATTAATCTGGACTTCAATTGATGTTACTCTTTCACAAATAAACTGAAAAAAAATTATTCTATGAATACAGCATCTTCTGAAGTAATTTCCTGCTTTTATGACTCACAAGAGTTTCTTTCTACTCCACAAAGCTCTACTTCAATACATAAGACCAAAAAAACAAGGCAAGCTTTAAAAACTCAGTATCTTATTCTATTAAAAAAAATTTATATGGCAGAGGAGATGCTATTTTCAAGTGAAACTATACTCTGCGACTTATGTTCCATTGTCTTCTTTTTTATTAAACTTGCTCATTCAATATGAGTTTTCCTGTGGTGTGGTTAACTGATTGTGTGGTGCTTTCTGGCTGCTTCAGTTAAAAGAAAATTATTTTCTAAATGATCAAATATAGACTTGGCATATTAAGAAGCCAACCAAACAAGGTTTTGCATACTGCTTGAATTTTGAATACAGAAAGCTGTGGTTCTGATGCATTATGGATATATTTTCCAAAAAATACCAACAATTGCTTAACGTGCAAAATTTCTGAGAGAAAAAAAATCATCAGTAAGTTCCCAGTAGATATCTGTTAAAGGCAATTTAATATCTCACAATTCAATATCTTGCAATTCAAACTGCTGTGAGCAGTGCCTGTGTTCAGTCTTTCAAAATTCATGCAGTTCAAAGACAAGCCTTGTTTTCAGCACCTGACCAGCACGAAGCAAGGCTCCAAGAACTATAGTCCACAACCTCCCCCCAACGCGCAAACTAGCATGAACTTCCCAGCGCTCCCCCTCACTCCCCTGACCTGCAGTGACTGGTAATGCAGGAGGCCAGTAAGATACACTGTAATTTGTTTTTCCAGGTAGGGATACATTTATTGTTACCAGCTGGTTTTAGTTTTGCTAAGGCAGAATCCAGTGAAAGTCAAAAGACTGCAGAAGCTTAAGCTGAAGGGAGATGGCTGTTCTTCCAAAGAAGCAGTTAGCTTCCTGGATGAAAATGATGTATTTTCCCTTAACACATCCTGACATCACAGCTGGGGCTGGGAGCTGTGCCATAGAGTGATCCAGGGGCAGGCTCAGCAAAGCCTAAAGCTCCTGGAATGCAAGAGCCTGTGTTCAGGACTGCACACCCTGAAGAATGATCAGAAAATACTTCAGAAACCTCTCACCTGAAGCAAATCCAAAGTTCATCAAACAGGCAGCATATTAAAAATTCTGCTTAATATTTGCTATGGAACAAGGAAATATACATAGTTATTGTTCATGGAGCTTTATAAAGCTCTTCCCCACCCCAACACTCTCATCATCTGGCTCCAAAATACACAACAATCACACAGGGATGAGTTTCTTTTTTCTTCTTTTTCCAATCAAACCGAAACACTGACCATCCCAAAAGCTGAAGATGCCAAAGATGAAGGGACAGTACAGCAGGGCACAGGCAATCCAAGAGGTTCCTCACATACACTGATGACAACTGCCTTCTCCAAGTGAGAGAGGAGCCAACAAGCAGAGGTGCTGTGCTGGACCCTGTTCTCACCAACAAGGAGGAGCTGGTGAAGGTGAAGCTCGAGGGCAGCCTGGGCTGCAGTGACCATGAAGCAGTGGATTTTAAGGACCTTGGGGCAGCGAGGAACTCGGGAAGAAGATCACTGCCCTGGACCACAAGAGAACAGACTTTGGCATCTTCAAGGATCTCCTTAGTAGAATGCCATGGGATAGAACTGTGGAGGGAAGAGTGGCCCAAAAGAGCTGGATGATACTGAAGAGTTGTCTCCTTCAGGTTCAACTGCAATGCATCCCTACAAAGAGGAAATCAAGACAGAAAACTGAGATGCCTGCATGGGTGGACAAAGAGCTCTTAGAGAAACTTAAACAGCCAGCTTACAGAAGGTGTAAGCAGGGGAAAGTAGTCTGGAAGGAATACACAGAAATTGAGGCAAGGAGATGGTTAGAAAAGCTAAGGTATGGGCAGAAATAAATCTAGCAAAGGATGTCAAGGGTAAGAAAAAAAAGGTTCTTTAGGTATGTCAGTGATCAAAGATAGACTTGGGAAAATGTGGGTCCTCTCAGGGGGGATTCAGGAAGCAGAAAACCTGTTTTCCCCGGACATGTAGAAGGCATTTGCACAGTGGAATTGAGTGTACCCTCAGCAAGTTTGCCAATGACACCAACCTGTATGATGTGATCAACACACTGGAGGGAAGGGATGCCATACAGAGGGACCTAGACAGGTCTGAGAGGTGAACCTGTACAAATCTCATGATGTTCAACAAGGCCAAGTGCAAGGTCCTGCACATGGATTGTGGCAATCCCAAGCACAAATACAAGCTGGGTGGAGAAAGGACTTTGTGGCTGTTGGTGGATGAGAAGCTCAACATGAATTGGCAGCTTGCAGCCCATAAATCTGGCCAGCAGTGCAAGGGAGGGGATTCTGCCCCTTCACACTGCTCTTGTGAGACACCACATAAGCATTCAGATCTGGATGATGAGACAACATAAGAAAAACATGGATTTATCAGACCAAGTCCAAAGGAGGGCCACTAAGTAGACCACCCTTCCTAGCAGAAGGACTAGAGCACCTTTCCTATGAAGGCAAGCTGAGAGTTGGGACTGTTTAGCCTGGAGAAGGCTCTGGGAAGACCTTAGAGCACCTCCCAGTACTAGAAGGGGGCTACGAGATAGCTGGAGAGGGACTTTTACAAAAGGATGTAGTCATAGACCAAGGGGGAATGGCTTCAAAATGAAAGATTTTAGGTTTAGATCTTAGGAAAAAATTCTTTACTCTGTGGGTGGTGAGGCACTGGAACAGTTTCCCCACTGAAGCTGTGGATGTCCCACCCTTGGCAGTGTTCAAGGCCAGGCTGGATGGGGCTCTGAGCAACCTGGTCTAGAAGGAGGTGTCTCTGCTCACGACGGGGGGTTTGCAACTAGATGATCGTTAAGGTGCCTTTCAACCCAAACATTATATGATTCTGTCATCACATTTATGTGCATCAAAAATCATTTTAAGTATCCTGATCCAGGCATAAAGATGCCTGGAAGTTTCAACATGGTAATAGCACAAATCTTATGCAGCTATTAAAATTGCATCTGCTCAGAAGGTCACAAACTGGAAGAAAGACAACAGCTTTAAGTTCTAACTTCCTCCTTCTAAGGGGCACACATAGAGCATCTTCCCCTTTTTCAGCAATTTCCTGTATTTTTTACTAAATTTTGATGCCTCAAGTATGGGGCACCAAAATTAAGTTGTAATTAATCATTGGCTCAGCACATCTGAATACAAGAGCCACTAAGACTTTACAACCCTACCAGGCAGTTGGTTTAGAAAGTCAATAGAGAATGATGGATTGATGTAAAGAAAGCAGTTAGAAAGTTTAACTTGTGTTTATCTTTTAGATTTATTTTGCTCAGAAAAAAAAGGCATGGTATTTATATGCTACCATTACTAAAATAAATTGTTAATTTACTATGTTTTTTTACACTTCATTCAGCATCTCCCCTGACCAAAACAACCCATAACACGCCACTTTCAAAAGCAATGGAGACTTGAAGAAGTAAAGAAAGATATCCCTAATTAAAAATTTGAATAGTCTGTTTTTTCAGATTTTTGAAAATGCTAAAAAAGCATGTGAGAGAAGTTCTCATAATAAACCTGAAGACAAATTTTCTTGTTTCTCAGTTCCCGGTCAGAATGGGGAAGTCAAATAAACTCCTCTGGTGCTTACTTTTCCTATTAATATTTACTTTTTAATATATTTTGTATACTGTTTCAACTTTCACAAACTCATATTTTTTTCCTTTTGCCCATTTAATAGCTTGCTTTTCCTTGAGGGTATTAAAAAAACCAACAGCCCATACAAAACCCTGAAAAAAGCTAGTAAACTTCATTATTCTTTTCCAACTTTTCTACCCAGCTTTTATGCAGGTAGTCAGGGCCTCACACATAAATAGGAGGTAGTGTTTGAAATTAATTTCTTGGTGTAAAATTAATTTCTTGGTGTGAAAACTACTCCAACATGTTAGATTATGTTTATGTTGCAGCAGTTTCTCTGGGGTTTTCTTTATGCTCATTTCCCTGTTTTAGTCAATATCTCTCTCTTTTCTTTAGCATACTTTGCTCCAAGGAAAAGTGCAACTCATCCAGTGCTTGTGGTACATCTACACATTCTCCAGGGAAATTAGAGTTATGCAATACAGACATCCCTAAGCAGCCTTAAGGTATGATGCCACAAAATGCTCCATGTGCACACTATAAGCACATTCAGTTGTACATGAACGAATCAACATCCTCTGATCACATAACCTAATATTAAATCACCTAACAACCTGCCAAAAGCAGTTTAGAATGTATTAAAGTAAATGAATGCACCTACACCTACTAACTTGGCACACAAAATAATCCCTAGCTAAAACTAGCATTAAAGCTCTCACAGGTAGGATGTAATGACAGGGCTTCAAAGAAGCTTCACCATCTGTTTGTAAGCTTCTAATTATGTATGAACCTATGGGTATTTTGATTTCCTCTACTGAAAGCAGATTCCTTCTACTAAGCACATATCAGTGGTCCATTCTGCTGTAACTGAGTGTAATGTTAATGCTACTCATAAACTTCCTTGTCAGAAACACAGGTGGCACTGCTTCAACCAGCAAGGCTGAATGCAGCACAAGGGTAAATGCAGGATTTCTGAACAAATGAACTTATCAAAAAAATGAAATTCCACAGGACCTCCAGCACATGACTACTAAGCAGTTAAAGTAGGTCACTGCAGACTGACAAATGTGAAACTGAGCCACCAGATTCCAGATTTCAGGGTTCCAGTACACATTACACAGGCTAAAATTATCCCCCACAGAGCTTCACTTGCTCCCATATTGTATCAGCATTACTTGAAAATCCTTTTTCTAGAGATGTTTTCTCATCAAGTGTATTTCAAAACTTAAACAACATATACATATAGCATTTAAGAGAGCACTGGAAGGACTCTCATCATCTCCCCCAGAAAGAATGGAAAATACACAAAGACGCATACACACACACCAGACACACCTCCAGCACCTACCCACACATTCTTTTTCTCACTCTCTGCCCCACCTCCAGACTTGGGTTAGAGTCCAGAGCGGATATTATATTTGTTCCTATTCTCCCTACATGAAAGGCTACAACCCAAGACTGAATGTACTTCTGAACCCAGAGTAAAAGGAGTGGCTAGAGAGTAGACTTCAGCCTACCAAGCTACTCTACGCTGCAGCAAGAACGTTATCTAAAAAACTGCAATATGGTTATCTAACAATTCCAGTTGGCCACTGGTTTATCTCTATCTCCTTTCTGCATTTCAAAATACGATTACTGACTCAGCATTTAAGCTCTACATTCAGCTGCTCTCTACCTAGTGCTTTCCCACAGTCTAAACCAGTGTTTCAACTGAAACAAGTGATTTATCCATGCACCTGGCTGAAAAAGTAACTGACATTAACACTATGGTAAAGCTGAAGTTCAAAGGTAATAAGCCCTGAAATTTAGGGAAATATGAATTATCATCTTAATGAAAGGAATGAAATGAGAAACAAATCAGTCCTTTGAGTGTAAATACGAATCACTTTGTGGTTTACCATCTTACTACAACAGAATTCTAAATGTTCTCATTAAATGATATTTGCTTTCATTTCTAGAACTACTGCAGTTTTCATGATGACTTATGTAATATACTTTGCATAAAATGTATATTCATATAACATAATGTATATTCCTCAGCTTGGTGCTGCAAAGAGCTATTCTGGAATATACCATGTAATGCAAACACCAATAAACAAATTCCAAGATTCAGTAACTAACAAGACAGTGTCTTACCCTGTCCTGGCTTCCTTCTTCAGGTCATCCTAAGATGCACACTTTTCCAGCACTGTTGTAGCTGTTTCCCAAATATAGTAGAGAGGCAGTGTACTTTGTTGGATGTTTCACCTCAACAAGCCTCAAGAGCAATTCTGTAGTAATGCTGTAGTAAAGACTGATCATTAGAGGAAAGACAGGTGGATCTTCTAGCATGTTCTCAAGTAATCAGATCTGTGGCCTCTAAGATTAGAAAATGGATGACAGACACAGTCAGTGTCGGACAAAAAGCACGAAACATTTCAAAAAACCAAAAAAAACAACTGGATAATGACTGCCAGGAGAGAAAAGTCAAAATCCTATTAGATCAATTTCCTCTACAGATACTGCTTCACTGAAAGAAATAGCAATAACACCATAATTAACTACCTCAACTCCACCCACTGTACAACCTGAAGCTACTCTAGTAAATACTCAACATTGCTAATGCAGTGTACAATTGCAGCAGGATCCAAATTTTAAGCTGATAAGCATTTTGTAGCCTTTCAAGATAGCATTGCATTGGACAGTGTACAACAGAAGACAGGCCAAACACAAACTCCCCCCATTATGTTTAACAGCGATTTTCAGGAGATCCATTTTCTTTGAGAAGCTTTAAGCATTCTTTTGATCTACTGAGCTAATGAGAGATAGAAAGGAGCATGCTCCACTCCTTTATCAGTCCCTATGACAGACTTTCTATGATTTCTTCCTTTTCCTCATCACACCTTGAACATCCATGACATATCTGATCATCCAGGACTGCAAAAGACAGAAATGCAAAACCGTCATCATTCAGCATAGTCCATATCTAAACTATGACATTAATCACCACTTAATCTTTGCTAGTCTAACTTCTTTAAAACAGCAAAATGGGGCTAGCATCATTATATTGACCCCTGTGTATCCCTGGCCTGGTTCTGGCCAAGCCAGGGTTAATTTTTCCAGGCTAGGACACAAAGGTTATTCCATACCACCTGACATTATTTTGCAGGAGTAGCGGGAAGGGTCCCTTCCAGGCCACATAGCATGGTGTGGTCTGGTACTGCCAGGGGTCCCACATAGTGAATGCCTATGTGTGAATCATCTCTTCTACATGATTGCTGTGACTGTTTTCTTATTTCATTTGCTGTTTCCAGTAAATTGTCCTTATCTGAACCTGTGATCCTTGCCTTTTGTGCCTCCAATTCTCTTCTCCAGGGCTATGCAGTGAGAGAGAGGAGGAGGGGTGAGTGAGTGGTGCATGGTTTAGTGTTTCAGTTACAACACTACACTGGGGAATATAATTCCTAAAACACGGCAGTACCTTAGGACTTGAATTTGTACATGACAGGATGCCCTAAGAAAAAGGAACGTATCCTTTCCCCTTACCAAACATTACCTAACCCCAGAATACAATGCACATTCTTCAGGATGCTACTTCCACACACTCAGGCCTCTCCATGAACCAGCAGGAACAGAGAGAAAAGAAATAATTTGCTTTACGTGGAAAGAAAAAAAAGACAAGTTGATGTCCACAGCTAACCTTGGCCACATTAAAAAAAATATTTTCTTGAGTGCATGACATTGTGTAGCGAGTTCTATAGGATATTAATTATTTTCAAAGGGAAGAAAAACAGTCATGTGCATATTAAAGTGATTACTTCAGTTACAAAACAGATACCAGAATTCAGTTTCTCTTTGAAAACTTTTTTGATAGACCAGCTCTCTACAACATTTTTGTGTGTGTGTGTTTGTACCAGACAGAAAATACTCTCCTATCAGAGGTCATGCAGTGACTCATATAATAAATAATACTGTCACTGCTTAGAATCCCAGGAAAGCAGCCTGCAAGTTCAACTTGCAGAACCGGTCCTAAAAAAAAAACATTGCAAAAACCAACCAAAACAAACTCACAAAAAACCCAAACCTCCCTCTTTGACATCAAGGTTTTAACTTACTACTTTGCTCCCCTCCTCCCAGCTCTTTTTGACAACCCAGGCAGGTTCAGTTAAAGGGATATTGATATGACAGCAATAGCACCAGATAAACTCTCCTAGATTGTTCATTCTCCGTTTAATCACTTTCTCGATTTAGCCTGCAAGATGAAACATCCCACTTTGGTGGTGTTACTGCTCAGACACACCGCGTGTTCTTCAGCCCCTTCCACATATTATGTTACCAAAACTAAAAAGCACAGAGCGTATTTCAAGAATATATTGTAGACCGTTTCCCCTTCCCTACTTAGTACCAAAAAAGACAAAACAGTCTTTTGGAACAACAGAGTGAAGATGATAACTTTTGTAGCAAAAGTGCTGACAAGACAAGCTGAACACACCTTTCTATCTAACTAATCAAAAGAGCTCCCTTTTCTAAAAAAGAAATTAAAGCACCCATGAAAGTTATCTCAAACGTATGCCAACTGAAGCTGGGTATTTATGTGGGATGGGGGAAAGTTGTTCAAACGCAGCTCTCAAATCATTAAGATTTCTCAGTTATGAGCATATAGTCACACACTTTGAGAAGACCAAAGAAAAGAAGTCATATGGATAACGCCTTTCAAGAACTCATATGGATAACAAGTCATTGAACATTCAATTGCTGCACTCACTGCACAAATATATGCGCTTTATTTCAGTCTTCCTCTTCTAATTCTTTGGCTTAACAAGGTCCTCTCATGTCATGAGTATGATTCAAGTCTCACACTACACATTTGCCTACAGTGACAACTGTCTGAAATGTCTTGTTAGGATTCTCTCTTAGCAGCACTGTGCCTGGTGCGGGCGGACCCGGGCCAGCGGTATCTCCATCCCTGAAACGGTCCCTCGGCATCCAGCGCCGCGTGACTTCCTTTGCGATCCCGAAGCCTATCAGGACCTGGCACCAGACCTCACAGGGACAAGGCATGGCTTCAGAGGCCGTGGGGGGACCTGCCCACGCTTTCGGTAAGAAGTCGTTCCCAGCGCTCCGGCCCCAAGCGTTGCAGCGCCTACAGAGGGGCGGCTTCTGAGGCCGGGTCAGGCCCGCGTGTCCCCGCCTGGGCCCGCCCCCGCCTGCTTTGCCCCGGGCCCGCCCCCGCCTACCTTGCACCGGGCGCTGGTGTCGTACTTGTCGTTCTTGAAGGCGCGCGCGTTCTGGTGGCGCTGGGGCCGCGTGCGGGACACGTTCCCCCGCTCCGAGCTCATCGCGGGCCGGCGCCGCGTGCCCCGGAACTGCTCCCCGGCCCGCCCGCGCTGGGCGGCGCCGCCGCGGCTGCGCCCCCATTGGCGCTGCGGCCCGCGGGGCCCCGCCCCGGCCACCCCCGCGCCGGTGTAGTCTGCAGGCGGGGCGAGGCTGGCGCCGCTCCGGAGGCTGCGCGGGGCGGGCTCAGTACTGTCAGGGCCGCGCGTTCTCCGGCCGGGGCCGGGGCGCTGACGGCAGCCTCCCGCCGCGCCGTTACTCAGCACAGCCGGCGTCCCCACGGCCCGCCGACCCGGCAGCCGGGAGAGCGCGGGGCCGCCGAGCGGAGCGCCAGGTGCAGGTAGGGGCTGTCGTCCCCCGGCATTGCGGGGATGGACGGTGTGCGGGTGACCCGCGGCCGCGGCGTGAGGGCGAGTTGTTTCCCCCTCGCGGCTCCGTCCGGGTCTCTTGCCCCGCTCGGACCCGCGGCCCGTCCGCGCCGCCTGGCGCAGGCGTGTGGCGGCCCCTGGGGCGAGCGGAAGGGCCCGCGGCAGCCACCGGCGTTTCCTCAGAGAGGCGGGCGGCGCGGCTTCGGTCTGCGGCACGAACCGGGCGGGGAGCTGCCGACTCCGCCTGCCTCCTGCCCGCGTCCCAGTGTCGCTGGGCTCGGGGGTCTCTTGGCGTGTCGCCTGCCTCGGAATGCCCGGGTGCTGTGGGAGATCTGTCCGGTGCTCCCGTCTCCGTGGTCTTGCCCTGGACTCCTTTGTTGGAAACGGGCGCACTGACTTGTGGCACGCGTGTTAAAGTCTGGCTTTTCGGGCTCCGAACAGTGCCTTCGAGTCACTGCTGAGGACTTCGGCGGAGCCCTTTTCAGATTCGGACACCTGAGGAGTTAATTTAGTTCCCGCCAGCCTGGTTAAATTTATTCCTTCAGCTTCTACTGTAGAGGGTGGGAGTAACGCTGGCCTCAACATTGCTCTCAGGTATTATTAATATAAAAATGTAAAGTATTTGGTCAGTAATTAACTCGGAAAGTTCATGGCTGCGGAAATCAGAGCAGAAAGAAGTACCTGGGCGCAGAGCAGCGTTGAGGGCGGAGCTCGGTGCTGGTGGCCGGCCAGCCTGCGCCGGGACACCGGGCCGGGGCTTCAGCGCCAGCAGCCGGCGGGTGCCTTCAGCAGGGCAGCTCCGGGGGCAGAGGCTTGCTTAGAGCATGCAAGGCATTATGTAATCGGCTTAATCCCAGTTGTCTATCTGGAGCCTTTAGAGGTTTCGTTTGTTCTTCGGTTGATAAAGAATGTCTGGATTTTTCAGTTAATGTTTCCTGGATTCCCTTTCTTTTTTCAACTGTGCCCTTAGGTTTTGATATACACAAAGTAACCAGCAGAGGATAATTAAATTATACGTGTTAAAATAGATAGAATTTGAAAGACTAGAAGGAGTGTTTATTTGTTTAGAATCAAATTAACAAAGTATAGTTTTGATTTGATCAGGCTTCTCTGTTTTCATGTAGCCTACTTTGTCCTTTGAAAACTATCTTAAACACTTACTTCACAGTATTTCTTAATATAGGTTTTTCATAATTGAATATACTTCCTTTGTGTTGTTTTCTGGACTTACTGTGTATTCTTTCTTAATATTGTCTTAATCCTTTTATATGGTACTGAATCAGACACTAATGATTTCTTTTTCTCTGAACATTTTGTTGCTTTAACTGTTGGACTAGTTAAAGGGTGTTCATATCGTACTGTTCAATTTTTAATATTACACAGGTGTTGAAATAAATATCAGTATTTCAGTAGTGGCTTGAACTCAAGTTCTTATTGTATTGTTCTCAATGAAAGTGTGAGGAAAAATGCTTTAGAATTTCTTGTTTCAGCAGTAGATAATGAACAATAAAGATGAAAAAAGACTCTAATCAAATAACAAACCCACGACCAAAATACACACACACAAAAAAACCCAAACAAAACAAACCACCAAACAAAAAAAATGAAACCAAACAAACAAAAAAAACCCCAACAATTTTAATATCTTGCCCGTTATGGTTTGAACAACACTTAAAGTTCCAAACCAGCAGCTATATATATGAGTTTGACTTTGTTCTTGTGAATAGTTCCCATGAAATAGGCAATTTAATTTAAATAAACAATTAGAATAATTTATATTTAATGTAAATATAAGATTTCTAGATAAGTGTTTGCAAGGTTGGGCTGGTTTTGAGACTAATACATAGTGAAGCATTCAGAGATGTGAATAATAGGTTCCACTGTCTTGTTATTATGTACAGAGAGATAGGAGGACAGGAATAATTACTCATGTGAAAAATTACATTTGTGTTATCCTAGGAAGCACAAGATAAATACTTGAGGCATTTAAAATTAAATAGACATTTTCCCACTTCTGTCAGCCTTTGTGAAAAGGCTAATTGCCACAGAATGAATTGAAATCACTGCCTCTGGGCAATTTTACATTTGTAATTTTATATGTTAAGTCTTTATTCATAAGAGAGTTAAAGAGATAAGATTGATAAAATGCTCTTGCTTTCCTTTTAAAAGCTATCCTAGAAGGGATAAGTAGTATAGCTTGGGTCTGTTTTATTTCTTGCAATAGAAAAGTTTTTTGCCGTTTCTTCTACAGGATTTTCATACTTATTTACTATGAAAAATGCAGTATAATTTTAAAGGGGGGTCTATATTTCTTTATCGCATTCTTTTTGTTGTTAGTATATTTTACCAGCTGTAGGAACTGTGTTTGCAGAACAGCACTGGCATTTTTATTACTACTGAAATGTCAAGTAGAAGGTGAGATAGTTGTGTTGTTGGGATGTGTTGCTCTCAGAATCTGATTATGCTGTAATGAGCACAGAGATTTACATCATACATGCTCAGAAGGTGTTAGACTATACCTTAGGTATTCACCGCATATCTTAGTCAAACGAGTCCCATTAAAGTTACTCATCTGTACTTGTGGAACCATATGCTTAAAGTAATCTAGTCAGAGTTGTTTTTGCCTCAGCTTCACTAAGAATCCAGATAAAGCATGCATCCAGCTTATTCACACTCTCATGTGAATACAATCCATCACAGTGAAAGACAAACCAGTTCCAGTATAATAGAAACATTGTTTGTATTTAGTTGGAGCTGTTCTCCTGTGAAAGTTCAGTAGGTGTTTTGCATCAAATTGGTTCAGTTAGTGACCTGCTGGTTGTCTTGGGTCTTCTGAGTGAAGAAAGTAGCATGTGTTTGTTTTAAAGAAGAGAGTTGTTATTAGCCATGATTTAGTTGGAGAATGAATCAGAATCTTTTATTTCAGCAGGCATATTTTCCATTGGATTAAAAGATCAATACATAAAGCCTGCATTAGTCTAGCACAGGGGAGGAATAATACTTCATCTGCTGTCTTCAGCATATCATTTTCCGTATCTGGTGACAACCCGTTTTTAGCACATTTACGCTATCTTGGGGGACATTACCACCACATCAGCTAATTCACTGTGGTTTACTGCTGTACTGCCCTGTGTGTGAATCCTGCAGGCCAGTTTCCAGTCTTCTGAAATTACTTGGGTAAATAGAAAATATTTTATGAGTGAGATCATATTTGTAGTGTTTCTGGGCTGTTTACACTTTCAAATAATGTAAACTCCTGTTCTAATTCTTTCTGACAAGGGGATTTGGAAGAAATAAGAAATTCTGTAGTTCTCGTTACATGCTGGTAAGAGTGCAGTCTGCTGTTCCTGGGCAAAACAAACTATTTATATCTCACTTTTGGAGCTACAAATTCTTTTAAATTTTTTACAAAAAATTATAATCATCCCCTTAGAATAAAGTATAATATCTAATTTCACCTTCAGCGTCTCTGTGCAGGTGGGAAAACTCACTCAGAATTGATCCATTTAATAGTTTCTGATAGAAATAGAAGTGATTTTGAGTATCGTGTTTTAAGTACTTGGAAAAAAAGCATGTTGAGGCTGGACTGCGAAGATGAACTCATTAAGTAGAGGTGAAAGAAGTTGCTTCATTGGTGCTCATAATTACAAGAGAAGTGAAGAAGGAACAAATACACACCACCACCACCCCCCAAAACAATAGGATTTTTACTTTGCATAAGACAATCTAAACCTTTTGCTAATAGTTTGACTTCCTCCATAGACTCCTTCCACTTATCCTGACTTGCGGGTATAGCTGAACCTTAATGTTCACATAATCTCATCTGACAGAGGTGAGTTATTCCATATTTGAGTGACTAATTGTGCTGAAACACAATATTATTGTTACTTCAGCTGTCAGGAATATGGTCCTTTATCCAGGATCTTCTTTAAGAGTCTATCTACCTTCTTAAGGGAGCTGATCAGTACTTTCCACCATGTCCTCTAAGTTGGAAGTGTTGATCTCCCATGTCTAAACCTCTGTGGTTTCCCTCTGTTTTGAAGAAAACTAGAGACCTGGGTGAAAAACCTTAGCTGCGGCAGCCTCCTTTTTTTGTGGTATTCCACGAATGCTTGTGTGTTTGTCAGACTGTCTCACTGTGCCTGGTTTTGCTGCTCTAAGAGTATGCTCCATGTAGCATTGTTTGCAGTATGCTTTCCTACTGTACCGCCAGGAAGGAACCATTCATGCATCCAAAAATGCAGATAGTTGTTCTGTGATGCATGTTAAAGTGTTTTTGCAGCACTGTCCTTGAAGCTTCTTTAAAAAGAAATTTACGCATGAAAACTATGCTTCTGTACAAATTTAAGGTCAAAATTTGAAATAGCTAAATATTGTTAGGTGTCATAGTTAGCAGTAAGATTTTAGTGTTGGATGACCCAAATACTTCTGGAACAGCATCGTACTGTAGACAACTGAAATCTGCTTGTTTTGTAGTTTGAGTCAAAGTCAGTATGTGAAACTGTACGTGTTTATGTTCACAGGGGACTGTCGGGAGATGAACTTGAGACTTGTAGGTAGATTTGGTATGAAAAAGTTGTTTAAGTTAAGATGAAATGTCAGATGCCTGAACTCAAGGAAAGTAGAGTAAATGCTTATCTTTGGTGTGCTGGTTTCCAGCACAGTACTTGTCAAATGTCATTGCTCTTCTTATCTCTGAGAAAAATTATTGCCGCAACAAAAGATTTCCCCCCACTCCCTTCTCACTGCTCTAAATTAAGAGAACACAATGTCTATTTTAAGGGCAGCTGTATCTTTACCTATCTTGCTTTAGGTATAGGTGTGTTTATTTATTTTTCTCCCCTCTCACCACTATTAAAACCAATGCTTTGAATTGGTACTATAGATTATGTTGCTTTAACAAATATTTGTGATAGAGGATTTAGTTAAAGAGATGTTTCTTGAAACATGGAAAAAAAACCCAGTTGTGTCATTTATACAATCCCAATTCCTATAGGCAATACAGCTAAGAACTTCTTTGAAGGTTTTCAAAATATTTATGTCGGCAAGTATGAGGAGTGAAGATAAGTTTATGGCTACATTTTTGTGTACCAAAGCTCTAGAGTGTTTGCTAACCCAGAAGCATCATTTTGTTTTGTCTTCTACATTTTGACCTTCATGCACCCTTCCTACTTCTGATAGTGCAGGAGCCCATACCCCGTGATTGCAATATACTTTCTTTGTATTTAGGAGATGCTGTAGTGACTTTTAGCTGCAGAAATCTGCATAACCTTAGTATGCTGTAACTCTGCAACATACTTTAATTGTTCTTTTATCATGTATTTATTTTTCAGTGGGAAGAACATTTTTCTTAATGTCTTAAGATGAGGAACTTCATTTCCTCCAAAGAAAGTTTAAAACTCATGCTTTTTCTTTCTCTGGATAATCATGCTTTACTTTTGATATCTGGCAGGGCTTTAGTGTTATCACTCCCCTTTACTAATATACCCATTGTGAAATAACTAATAATATAAAATTGAATATTATATGGAAATATATATATGGATTTAAGTCTTTGTTTTGTTAAATGTTCAGAAGTTACGTGTTATTTCCTAGAGATATTGTGTTCACTTTTTTTTTTTTGTAAGTTGGATTTTTTTAATGTCAGATTGTACCTGGAAACTGATACTATTCTCTCTTCCCATTTCAGACTAGAAGATGAATAATCTTTCCTTTAGTGAACTGTGTTGCCTGTTCTGTTGTCCACCATGCCCAGGGAAAATTGCCTCTAAGCTGGCATTCTTACCTCCTGATCCCACATACACACTGATGTGTGATGAGAGTGGCAGTCGCTGGACTTTACATCTCTCAGAGCGAGCAGACTGGCAATATTCTTCCAGAGAAAAAGATGCCATTGAGTGCTTCATGACTAGAACATGTAAAGGCAACAGGATTGCCTGTATGTTCGTGCGTTGCTCACCTAACGCCAAGTACACTTTGCTCTTCTCACATGGAAATGCTGTTGACCTGGGTCAGATGAGCAGCTTCTATATTGGACTGGGTTCACGGATTAATTGCAACATATTCTCCTATGATTATTCTGGATATGGTGCAAGTTCTGGGAAGCCTACGGAGAAGAATCTATATGCTGACATTGATGCTGCTTGGGTGGCTCTTAGAACAAGGTAAGACATTAGTTGCCATTTTTCTTTTACAGCATTCTTGTCAAATGGTTTTATTTCACATGCATTGGTAGTTGAAACAGCAATGCTGTGATGTAGAATTAGTGGATTCAAATCCAAGCTGACTGGTGGTGCCTGATGTTGAAGGCATTGTCAGTATTAAGCAGGATCAGTATATATTACTTACCGACTGGAAAAATTGAAATGTAATTAAATTTAATAAGCTGTGATTTAGTCTTGAACAATTAGACTATCTTCCTTATTGTCATTGTTTGGAATCTTCTCAGCTGCAAAATTTAAAAAATTGGGAAAAATCCATAATAATTGATACCCCAGTGATTAACCCATGTTGTGATGTGGATGTGAGAAAATGCAGGTTGTTTCTTCAGATAATTTCCATCACCTACTTTTTTTGTAGGGAGGGGCAGAGTAAAGCTGGTACAAGAGAACTTGGTGAGACTCTTATTTCTGTATGGTGTTGGGATCACCTTTGTCTCAGAATTCTGACTAGCAGCTACAGTATTTCCAAAGAGAGAAAACATCTTTTTGCTTTATATAGAAAGCTAGCTTCACAAAACATAATGTGTGGGAGAGTTTGTAACGGATCTGTTTAAATACCTTATGGTGGGAACAAAAAAAGTGGAATTTCGAGCAGTGGTGTTAACTCAAGCAGAATAAAAATGGACAAGAAAAAAAATACAAATGGAAAGATGTTATTTCAGCAATTTCTGTGTTCTAAGCCTCTGGTTTTGTGGGACATAAAATAGCAAGATGAAAGACTGTGAATACATTCACTGATATAAGTGAGAATCCTACAGAATCCTGCACCAAATATGTGCAGCTTCTCTAATTTGAGAGCAATTTTCACCATAATTTTTTCCATTTAGCTCAATAGTCTTCTCATGGTTACAAATACCCAGACTATAAATACTACTTTTAAAATAGTATTCTATCATAAGAATAACTGCCCACCAGAAAATCCCAGCACACTGTGTATTTTATATCAAAAAGGTATAAAAACCTGAAGTGTATTGTTATGGCTCAGTCATTGCAACTTGAGCATCCTGTTTAATAATTATAGTATCAGGGATTTGACTTAGTGTAAGGGCATGTGGGCTTTAAATCCTGGATCCTGGTAATTGTCACAGTGAGTTTAGAACTTCATCAATGTAGTATTAATGAGCAGTGCTTCAGTGCTTTAAATATACATTTAGTCTTGCACTCATTTTACATTACAATAGTATGATACTTCTTTTCAAAGAAGCATGTGTTATCCCTGTATTAAATAGGGGAAAAGCTTATTATCATAAACCTCATTCAACCGCAGGAGACAGGTTTTCAGCTTCATCTATTCAAAAACATGCATACTAGGTTGTTAGATTAGCTTTTGGTGTTTATTTTTATTACAATGGAAAGTTGAGATATGGCTGTTCCACAGGCCAAAAGCTGCAACAGGGGCACTGTTGACTATGGTTTGTAGTTGGTAGGTGATTAGCTACTCAGTGAAATACCCGGTTACATTTACATTATTAACATTTGTTTGTGAACAATTTGGAAGAAGGTTTGAACTATTTAAACAGAAAATGGAAGAGAACTAGGTGGTGAAACATAATACTTTATGTCAGTTTACAGGCTCTGTTTTAGAAACTAATTTGTAATTATTGTTTCTTCTTCTTTGTAATGAATGTGTGAATATACAATCTGCAAGGAAATGTGATTACAATTTGAATTCTCACCACTATTCTTAAGCAATGAAGTGTATTTTCTCTAAACAAATAAGATTGTTCATGATTGATAGGACACAGGCTAATGGCTTTAAACAGAAAGAGGGTAGATTGAGATTAGATATGAGAAATAAATTCTTTTCTGTGAGGGTGATAAAGCACAGGAACAAGTTGCCAGAGCAGTTGCCATGAGAAGAACCAGTTGTCCAGAGAAATTGTCGTCAACTTCCCCATCCCAGGAAGTGCTCAAGGCCAGGTTGAATGGAACTTTGAGCAGATTGATCTAGTGGAAAGCATCCCTGTCCATGGCAGAGAAGGTGGAATTACAGGGTATTTAAAGGTCCCTTACCCAAACTATTCTGTGATTGTAACGTCCCATACAAGTGTGCTCATTTGTCAGCAGACATTGTTGGGGAGACCTCTAAATATATCTTATAAGATATTCTTATGTTCAAGAATGACCTGACCTTGGTCCCTTTTTTTGTCTGCCTTTTTTTTATTATTATTTCTCCTCCTGTAGCAATTAGGTAATTCTGTAGAGTGTATGAAGTTTCAATTGGTCTGCTCAACTTGTGAATTTCACACACATGAACTGAATTTGGTCTACTGCTGAAAAAGAGGTTGGTATTACCAGTTACACCTGTAGTACTTAAAACAGCTTTCCAATTGGCTGATCTGGTCTCATCCTTGTATCTGAATGCTGGATGTAACAGGGGGAAGTTCAGCACTTGACTCTGGATATTCTAGCTCACAGTTTGGTTATCCAGCTATGGTATTCTCTTGAGCCCTGAGACAGTGCTCAGCTGTGTTAAAATACTCAATGTATATCTGGACCCGAACAGAGCCTTTGAGCATTTGCTGCAGCCTTGATTCACTTTCATAGTGTAGCTTCTTCTGTCAGTTTCACATTGGTACAATCTTTAATGTTTATAACTAATTCTGCAAAAACAAAGTAATTCAATAGTTTGTTTGCAGGATAAATGTGAGTATAGCTGTAACTCCTTGGAAATTCTTGTTGATGAAATGAGATAAGAAAGGATCAGAAAGTTTTAAACTCTGCCTCCCAGTTTGTGATGTGATGAAGAAAAGAATGGAGAAGTTACCTTCAGAGATTGATCACAGCCATAGCTCCCTGCACTCCCTGTGCTGAAAAATGAAAAACACTAAAACGTGTTTCTGGCGTAATTGAAATGCTGATGCAGACTTAATTCTACAGTCAACAAAACCACTTGTGGTAAAGACTTGCTAGTCTTTAGTTAAGATACTAGTGAGAAAACTTAAGATACAAATCTTGTGTCTGGGGAAGACAATCCACGTACTCACCTGTAAATCAGTGCAGCTGTCCAGTGGGGACTGGACACCTGGGGTGAAATAGTCTGGAACTTATACTGAGGGTGATGATGAGATTTTGCTGTGAATATTAATATTCATGAAAGTGAATACATAAAACTAGTTTGGCAGCCTATCAGAACAGGTAAACAACAGATGTAGATACTGAGTTGTGTCCCTATCCTTTACCTCCTTTGAAGATGTTAATAGGAAGCAGTCACTACCTATGTGGATGGTGGCCATGAAAGAAGGTGGTGTGATTCACTGCCTTCATCAGTTTTGGAAAAGTTGTACATTGTTGCATATTCATGTGCATGGGATTGTATAAAAGCTGCAAGTAAGGACATTCTTTTTCCAGCTGTCATAACTACCAAGTGTTGAAATGCCAGGAGTCATTTTGGGATACGCCTATTTTCTGCTGTTCTGGTCTCTGAAGGCCTTTGATGACACCCTAGCAAGGGTGGAAAGGTTTAACCAGCCCCAGGCAAATGCAGGGCAAGTGGCACTCATTCAGAAACCTCTGAAGATGTGCCAGAGTTGCCTCGTGACCAGATTTACCTGTAAGAAGCGAAACAGCCCCTTCATTATTGCTTATCATGAACTGCATAATAATTGAAAAATTAAAGGGTAAATCTCACCATCAGACAATGTGTCAAAGTGGACAGAATGTTCATAAATTGAACAGCCAGGTATAGGAATACTACTGTCTCTTCAGATGTTGACCGAAAGTGTTCATTTCACAATTCATAAACTACTTTTTTTGGTTTTTTTCATTCAGAAGTAGAAGGTGGGGGGAGTTCAGCTAGAAGTTGAGGTACTCTAGCTTTGTACCTTTGGAGGGAAATTGAGGTTTTCTTTAAATTGATAGGGAAAAGTAGCTCAATTATTGTGGAAGAGAAATCTTGACAATAGAACAGGTGTATTGGTAGCATTTTAAAGTTTAGAAAGGCCAAACTGTGAGAGGAGCAGAGAAAGTGCAGTTTGTTGATATAATGTGGACAATGGATTTGCCTCTCATAAAACATAGTTCCTTTTTTCTTCTTCCTTTGTAAAATACTGTATGCACAAGAAGGGGGATGCCTACATCATTCGAGGAAGAGCTGTATGCTCCTGAATTTTATTCATAGGCTAAAATGTTGAGAGTTACAGGCGTGGATGAGGTTCATGCCGTTCATGTTCTGCAACTTGCAGCTGTAATTTCATGCATTATGTCCGTGATGACAAAAAATTCTGAATGTACATTGAAAATTCCCTCAGGAATGTTCCCCCTTGTTCCATGTGCGCCAAGTGCTGTGTCAGGTTTCTAACTGTATGTGTTGCAATAGCTTTGCAAACTGCAGCTTCTGTAGAGCATCTAGTGTAAGCCTAGAGGTATTATGGAAAATGTACTCTTCTAAGCTTGATCTTATCAATATTTTATTTCATTATTGTAAAGCAATCAAGTCTTCTAGATTAAGAGCAATAGTTCAGAAGTAAATATAAATTACTTTGTCTCCCATATGTATATCCAGATCACAATGGCAGGTATTTTTTAAGAGCCTGACACTGTAGCATGGTAATTTCTGCTAGTATTTGTTTCTTAAAGGTAAATGAAGTTAAAAACCAAAAACAAAGGAAAAAAACCAAAGAAACAAAAAAACTCTACCTACATTGTCACAGCCAGACATGCATTTTGTAGTTTTCTTATTGCATATCATGGTAATATGGTAAATATCCAGTGAAAATATAAAATAAGGTTAATATCCAATGTAAGTGATGTACATCCAATTAAAGTGTTTAGGGGTCAGACAGAACTTTGAGCAACTTGATTCAGTGAAATATTACCTCTTTATGGCAAGGGCGTGGACTATATTACATTCCAACCTAAACTGCTTTGTGATTCCATGAAGAGAAAAAGAGAATGGAGGGGCAAAGAAAAGATGGACCCACCAGTAAGATAAGTGTTTAGTA